GCAGTGCTCAGTTTGAGCATACTCTTTTGGTAACTTTGTATTTTCCCATTTGTTTTTTCTTTTCATCATACCGCTATGTATTGTCTAGTGTTTTTAACTTTTGTCATTTTAGATAAATGTTTGGAATGACCTTTTGGCTCCTGATTAGCTACTTACCAGTGCAACCTTCATGGTTGTCTTGCAATAGTCTGGTTATATTTGTGTTGACTTTGCTTTTATCTTGGAACCATTCTTGAATTTCAGTAGTAACCAAAAGATATGCGATTATATGGTGCTTGCTTGTGATTATAGTTGGCATTTAATGATAGAGAATCATGGCGTCTACACGAGTGTTTCTTACTTCTCACAGTTTCTAATGGATATTAACATGCAGGTAACAGAAACTGGGGTCGAAGTTCTTACAGCTCGGCTACCTTCATCACCGAATGTGTTTCCTTGGCTAAATAAGTAAACGAGTCTCATTATTGCATAAATAATAGACCCTAAGGTAAGTTAAATGATAATCAAACATTATAGTTTAATCATCATACATAGATCACCATATATGAAATATTACCTATCAGAGCTAATCTCTTTATATTAAAAGTAAAAAATAAAATTTATAGATATTAATGTATAAAAGCATATATGAAAAAATTGGTAAATGTATATTATTGGTGTATTGGAATTTTCCTTTAATGAGCACGATACTAGTATTTTGAGGGATAACACATGTTATAACATTCATTTTTGGAAATAGATAAACAGAGAACTGCTCAAGCTTCATTAGTTTGATCTTGAGTCTCTATTTCTATGTTTCAGCTCTGTTCTCGAAAGATATGGGATTATAGCGCTTAGTGCAAGTAACAAAGAGGACCAAGTTAAGTGCAGTCAAGGCAGCTAAGAGAAAGAAGTATCTATCCAAATGTCCTGCATTCAAATCCGGTGGAACCCAACCTGGTTTCCCATTCTGGATGTAATTGCCGTCACTGCTGTCAAAATCATACTACATATAACTACCCAATGCTGAAGAGTACATTGATAACCCAATTCCTAAACTTTTCAATCCATCTGGTGTTCGGGATACAAAAAATTCCATTTGGGCAACATATACCAATGCTTCAGACACTCCCACAAGCACATACTGTGGAGTCCGCCAGAAAATGCTTAAAGCAATTGTCTTTTTACCATTGGCATATTTTAGTCTTTGCTGCTCAATAATGCCTGCAATTATCATGGATACCATTGCAATAGCTATACCAATTCCTATTCTTTGTAGCTCGGATGGAGGCATAAGCTCTCTTTTTTGTTAGTCTTACATATAAAGGAACTATGACTTTGTCGTGCAATAGAATGAAAGTAGATGTGCTTACAATGTCAAATGCAAACATACTGGCTGGTGGGATATGAAAGTTTGAGATTGTTGTGTCCATGGCAGCTCCTTGCTCGACAAAGAGAGAAAGCATTTGTATGAATACCACGGAGGACAGAATGGCGCTGAGCCATATTGGTAGTAATCTTACAATGCACTTCACTTCTTCGACTTGTGTGATGGTGCAAAGATACCATGGATTTGCTGTTTCACCCTTGTTTATTACCAAGAAAATGTCCGCCGAGGTGATAATGGTGGCTCGATCAAGAAATCTGCCATTTACAACAGAATTATTCATGACATTACCTTAAAAAACTACCATATGTAGTTTCAGTCCGTTGCTTACACGAGAAATTCAAGCACGTTATATATTGTGACCAGTTACAACGAAAAAACTTACTTGAAGCCATCAGTGTGAAGAATTCTTCTGACCCCATTACTTTTGTCTTCCGTTCTTTGAACTTCATAAAGCCCTTCCCCATCTGAGGGTACTGGAAGGTTTATTTTCCTCGCGGAAGCTACAATCACCTGAAAGAACCTGGAAATGGGGTTTCCAACAGTCTTGAAGTGTCTGTACCTCAAAGTCCCACACAAGAGCAAGGAAAATGCTACCATTGCACCAGTAACACATATCCAGAACCCCAGGATCCAGTTCCCAATGTTCTGTATGTATGCCAATACTGTCTCAGCAAACAAGGATCCCAGGTCTAAGGCCACATAAAAGTAGCCGTAAAATGAATTCTTTGATTGCTTTTCTTCATCATCCTCCTCATCGAACTGGTCAGCTCCAAATGCAGCTAGTGCTCGGAAGAGAAGTCCTTAATATCCTTGCCCACAATTCCACAAATGTAAGTCCTCAGCAAGAGCTATGTTTCTTAAACTGGGTATGAAATTAATGCCAAGTACCAAGTACCAACTACCATGTCATGTCTGCATGATCTATAAGCTGGTTAAACCCCGAATGACACCTGGGCTTAAATGGTCCATGTGTTTGCTCCTCACCGATTATGTATCAAAATAAAGTCCACCCACGGAGTCCATGCATGTCATTCACTGTTATTAATTGATACTACCAAATATGTCCACTAGCGTCACCACCTTTCTACTTCTCTTAGCCATGGCTACCACCACCTTTTGCTCTCAAGAACTTGCAGAGGTGGTTCAAATGGCTAGAAGCGTGGTTGTGGAATGTAGGAACTGGGCTGAGGCTTCCTTGGCCCTACACGGATTGGACCACACATTAAATTATCACGGAATGTGTCTCAGTGACTGTGCTAAGCTGTAGGATGACAGCGAGTCTAGGCTCTCGCTCTTAATGCTCTCTCGTCAAGGCTATACCCTTGAAGATGCTCGAACATGGTTAAGTGGCGTGCTCGCGAATCACAGAACTTGCTTGGAGGGATTAGGGGAGAAGGGTTTTGTGATTCAAGATCATGCAGATGCTCAAAACTGACAACTTTGCTTAGTGAAGCTTTGGCATTGTATGGGAAGGATGTCGTAAATCAGGGTAAGCTACTCTCCTCGGTGTCTCTCTCACTAGCGCTTTAGTACTCAGATTGATTCAATTGTTATAAAATAAAACTTAATTAGAGTTTCTCGAATGAAATTAGTAAGCTTAATTTTATATTATATATATAAAAATCAGAAAATGCAAATCCAAATAACTTTCCTGGCCGATGAACCATATGGATAATTTTTACATTACCCTATTTGGCTATTTCCTCCCCTCAATTAATAAACTATTTTTGTAAAGAAATTTAGGACCCTTTTTTTTTCTGGTACTTGACAGATCAACTGCCTAGACCAAACTTCAACGAAGGCGGGGGACTTTTAACGTCGTGGAATCCAGCAACATCAAAGGCCGATTTTATCGTGGCAAATGATGGCTCTGGCACCCACAAAACAATCAATGAGACAGTGGCTGCAGTTGCTAGAATGGGTAATAGGCGCCCCCCAGAGAGTAATAATCTATGTGAAAGCAGGAGTGTACAATGAGAAAGTGGACATAGAAAGGAATGTGAAGAATATAATGATGGTTGGTGATGGCATGGATAGAACAATTGTAACTGGAAATCGGAATGTCCCAGATGGTGCTACCACTTTCGGCTCTGCAACATTTGGTAAGAGTGAAGTTCTTGCTTCTTAGATGATTCCATGGAGAAACTTGGATTCAAATAATCCTGTAATCATTAGAACAACTTGAGAGGATAGATGAGCTTAACTTCGTCTTCTGCAGGCGTGTCAGGTGATGGGTTTTGGGCAAGGGACATGACTTTTGAGAACACAGCCGGTCCAAATAAACATCAAGCAGTGGCATTAAGGGTAAGCTCAGACCATTCTGTGTTCTATCGTTGCAGCGTCAAGGGTTACCAAGACACTCTCCTTGTGCACTCCCTAAGGCAATTTTATCGCGATTGCCATATATATGGCACAATTGATTTCATCTTTGGTGATGCCCCAGTAGTCTTACAAAACTGTGACATATTTGTGAAGATACCAATTAACCAGCAGGCCAACATTATAACTGCTCAAGGGAGAGAAGAACCGAATGAAAATACAGGAATTTCAATTCAAGGATCGCGCGTAAGGCCAGCATCTGGTTTCGGTTCTGTCAAACATTTGTTCAGGACTTATTTGGGTAGGCCATGGAAAAAGTATTCCAGGACAGTATTTATGAAGACAGCATTGATGGTTTAATCGATCCCAAAGGATGGACAGAACGGAGCGGCAGTTTTGCTCTTTCAACACTATACTTTGCAGATTACATGAATACAGGTGCTGGGGCTTCGACTAGACATAGAGTGAACTGGCCTGGTTTTCATGTGTTCAACAGTCCCCAGGAGGCTGGACCTTTCACTGTAAGCAAGCTCATACAAGGAGAGTCCTGGATTCCAGAGACTGGTGTGCCTTTCTGGCCTCGAATCTGATCATTGGGTTTGTCATGATCTTATGCTTTATGTATAATAATGGCTAGAAAGCAAAAACTAGCTAGTGCCTAAAAATTCTAGCCGAGCATTAGGGATTGAACACAAATAGTTTGATTTCTCTCAAACGATTCTTATTCTTTATGAAGCGCAAGTTTCTCCTTTGTAATGATACGACGTCTTAACTTTTCTTGTCTATGTAGCACAAATTTGAAGTTTGTTCTTTGTAGTAAAACAAACTCAATTCATTTTTCTCTTTCATATAAAAGCTTTACATTCCATTTTTTTATGAATATAAATGTATCATCAACATAAAATTGGAACTAAATGGCAAGTAATGGTGTCATGGACAGAAGAAAACATTGTAAAATAAAAACCCAAATAAAAATGACAAAGATTATAATAAAAGCCCAAAAATATTAAATCATTAATAAAAATACATTAAATTTAATTTTAATTCAAAAATATATTTAAAAATATAAAAACATTAATATTTATTAATATATATTCTTAATTTTGAGTCACTTGAATCCGATGGCTTCTGGTCCAAAAAAAATCCAATTGTTCGAATCAGGCCTGGCCTTAGGCAAAGCCTTTGGAAGGTTGATCTAGCCTGGTAAAAAAAGGCCATCAAAAGTCATGTAGACCCACGTCTAAGATATAAAAAGCCCAATTTAAAACCCAACCTTAAATCAAGCCCAGTTGAAATTAAAGGAGAAGAATATTCAATGCCCTAAAATCTCCAATTTGTTCTTTCGTCTTTCTTCTTCTTCTTCTTCCGTGAGCCGACAACTAAGCTTTTCAGCCAAGGTTGAGCTCTCGACAGAAACTCAAACTGTCAACCTCTTTTTGTGTCTATCATAACCGAATTGATCTCGATGTTGGCTGATAGATAAGGGTTTAACTCTTAATTTTTCAATAAAATTTTCCTCCAAAATTTTCAATAACAGCCAATTTCTTTTCTTTCAAAAATTTTTTGAGCCAAACAGAGCCTTAAGCGCACTCGTATGTGCATCTTATTGTAACTATTTTACTGCATCTATCCGTTTTCCTTTTTGAATTGAACTGGGCGGCTCAATCTTACACATAAAAAAGAGAGTAGTAAATTTGAGGTTCGATGGCCGGTGGCTCGGATGTGGTGGAGACACTCTCCTGTGCTCGTTGCGGCAAGCCTGCTAATCTTCAGTATGTGATTACTTAATTATTGTTTATTCTCATATTACAATCACAGAAATTTCTGAGTCAGGGTATCATTGTGTTGGTGCGATTAACGCATGGAAATTATCAAATTTGTGACTTTAAGACATCCTGAATGATCAAAGTACGTTTGGTTGATGCTTTTGCATTTTTGCTTTTTTGAATAGAAAGTGTAAAGCAAAAAATAGACAATAACTGAAATAATGAGACAAATTACGAAATCAAAAAGCAAAAAACAGAAGCGCCAACCAAACTAGGTCTAAAGGAAGACTATTAGCATTTGGCAGTGATCAAAATTGTGACTTTAGAAATTTTGAGTTTGACTCTGTTTGGTTAATAGAATAACTTGAGAATCGAGTTGCATCCTTTGTTTCTGATGTAACACTGTAACTTTTTATCTGCAGGTGTCCCAAGTGCGTGGACTTAAAGCTTCCTCGTGAAGGTGCTGCTTTCTGGTATGTAATCATTTTCTTCTATGATGTTGAAATTCTGTTCGGTATCTTTGATTATTATGGGAATGATTATAGATAATATGCTGCAGTGAATTAATTGTTTGATTTCATCTTCATATTACACTTTCCGATGTTGTATGTCAAGGCTATATAAAAAATGCCAAGGATGTACTAAATTCCATCCTTGACTAAAACTTGGTTGATGATTTTTATATTTTTAGCTTAATTCATTGATGAAAGCAGAGTTTTTTTCTTGTTCTTAATAAAAATTTGAAAGATGTTTGATAAAGCTTTTCATTTTCTATTATTTATGTTGTTTTCCTTGACAGCACTCAGGATTGTTTCAAGGATTCTTGGAGCTCACACAAATCAGTTCATTCGAAGGCTAGGCTGTCCTCACTTGGGACAGATACTGCTGGTGAACAAAATTCTGATTTAGCTAGTAAGGGTTGGCTATATTGCTTGAGGAAAGGGCAGAGTCGAACTCCTAAACTTCCCCATTTTTATTGGACAGGGTACTTCTCTATGATTTTAGCTTATCTTATACGCTACATATCTTTCCTGCTTTTGGATCAATTTCTTACTTACCGTGGAATATTCAAGCTTTTGTTTATATTTTGTTTCCTAGATAAATATTTCCCCTTTTATTTCTGATTTTTATTATTATCTTCCTTGTACAGGACACTTAGACCATATCCCATATCTGCCAAGCGTATTGTACCTGCTCACATTGCAAAACCTGATTGGGCTGATGATGTGAGTATTTCTAAATTAGTTTTTTTTTCTTTTTTTTGCATGTGGAATACTTATTAGCAATTTGAGTGGAAAACTTATTGATGAGAGAGAGATTAATGAACAAGTAAACTTATTTTCTCTCTTCTTTCCTCTCGGCTTATTGGTATTTGCATCCCTAAGATATTACTGTTACCCTTTCACATGCAGGGAATTCCAAAGGTTGAGCCGAATAGTGATTTGCAGCATCATGTTGAGGTAAGTTTATACTTGTGAAATCTCTTCGTTAGTCTTAGTGAATTATTGTATACTTTATTTGTTCCTTATAGTTATCTTTTTGTTATTTCTTTTCTTGTTAAATTTGATGCATCTGTTTGAAGATCAAGACTTCAGATCAAATTGAGAGAATGCGAGAAACTTGTCGAGTAAGTACCCATCTTCCTCTTTTCTCTCTTTTTTGCAATCACACAACCATGCTTTCTCTAGGGAGTTTATCATGCTATGTTGTTGTCTACATGTCTTCACTTTTTCATTAAAAGGTTACATTACTCTGCTTCATGTGAAAATAAAGGTTTTTCCCCTCAGCAAAACATATCATCCTAAAATGAGCTTCAACATAGTTTGGTTTACGGAACATACTGTCAACTGGAAGGATTGACCATAGCTTGATAATAAGCTCACTGTTGCTGCCTGTCTGCATTAAGCTCTTTTAAACAGATAGCAGAATGGATTGGCCCAAATTTGCAGTTTAAACTAAAGGAATAACAAATTTATGTAGAATGCTTCTGGGATTTTGCTTCCATTCAATATAGAAGTTCTTTTTAGTAAGTCAATTCCTATTATGGCCCACGTATGTCCCCCTAGTTTATGACTTTGGCTCAATAATTGCTATATAGGAAAAGGCAAATCCATTTGTTTTTCTGTGTGAACAAACCTTAAGACCTCAAGAATAATTGCTAGAATGGAAAGGAGGAACTGATGAGAAATCCTTTGCACTGGCAATTACATGCAATTCTCTTTGGAAATCCTTTTCAATTGCAATTGCATCCAATTCTCTTCGGAATTAATTTTTAGTATTTTTTGAGTAATTACAAATTCTCTTGGCTTTTAAATTTCTATTGTTAGATTGCAAGGGAGGTTTTGGATGCAGCAGCACGGATGATCCGTCCTGGTGTAACAACAGATGAAATTGATCAAGTGGTTCATGAGGCAACTATTGCTGCAGGTGCATGTTTTGAATGACCTTTTATTTTGCACAATTAATGAATGATTATCTCTATGGTTTTGCTTTATATGTGTGTATCTCTCCTGCAGGAGGATATCCATCTCCTCTCAATTATAATTTCTTCCCAAAGTCTTGCTGCACGTAAGTACTTCTGTACATATTCTTTGAATTTGATGGGGATTTATTGTGTTGAATAAGTAAACATGTTTCATTTTCTTTTTCAGGTCAGTTAATGAAGTAATATGCCATGGCATTCCTGATGCAAGGTGTTAGTTTCATTCTAATTCGAAAAACTTAAAAGTTTTTAACATTTATTGGTGGTATTTGTCAATTACTTAGATGCACCTGAACTGAAATTCGGTGATCAACTATGTTCTAATTGCCTCAGGAAATTGGAGGATGGTGATATTGTAAATGTTGATGTCACTGTTTACTACAAAGGTGTTCATGGTAAGAATCTGTCCATTTAATATTTGATGCAAATGCTGCTGAAAATAATGAAACTCCATAGTTTACAAAGGATAGACTCATCATGCAGGTGATTTAAACGAAACATATTTTGTGGGAAACATGGATGAAGCATCTCGTAAGCTGGTTCAGTGTACATATGAGTGCTTAGATAAAGCAATATCTATCGGTATGTGATTCATATTCTATTTGCAATAATTCAATTTTTCAGCATCACATTTTCTCTAATGTTTTCTTGTTCTGCTAAGTTTTCAAAAAGTCTTTTTATTGACGAGTTTTACATATTGCAATCTGTGCAATCTCCTAGAGATCATAAAATAAAGAATTACTTTTGATGGCTGCTGGATTTAGTTCAATTCCCACTTTCTTCAATCACTAAGCATGTCGTGCCATGTCGATGATGTCATTGCTCTTCGAACATAATTTGTTAAACCTGTGTTCATAATTTGTTACTTCTTTTAGATTTTTTTAAAAAGATAAAATGATCAAGAAATAATGTGCTTGGTATTTCATTTTCTTGGATATGATTACTCAAACAGATGGATATTAAGTGTTCAATGTTGAAGGTCTTTGGTAGTCTATTGCCTTCTATGTGGAAGGGCAGGTGCTAACTGTGTAATTTAGAGAGTTATTTAATTAGAAAAATTTTGACAATGGTCTCTTGATTTTAAGTGGATCACATTCTTTTGAACCTCATGCCCCATGGATGCATCAACATGCATAGGTACACAGACACAGAGACAGCTGCTTTCTTTATATCTACTTGAGTTGATTCAAAACTACTATTTAGACTTGATTTCTGATTAATCTTTCTTTTTTTTATGCACTGAAATTCAGTTAAACCTGGAGTGAGGTTTCGTGATATTGGAGAAGTGATTAATCGCCATGCTTCCATGTCAGGGTTATCTGTGGTAATGTGTAATTTGGTCTATGCAATTATACATCCTGGTTCATATTTTACTCTAATTACGGTTTCCATTTATTTCTTTCTCTGTTATCTTTTGTTACTATAGGTGAAATCATATTGTGGCCATGGCATTGGAGAGCTCTTCCACTGTGCCCCAAATATTCCCCATTATGGAAGTATCCTTGTTAGATCAGGCTTCTCAAACCAATTACGTTTTATGTTTGACTATCCTTAATGCTTCATGGAAAGCCCTCAATGAAGTATAATGATTCAATTGCTGTTGTAAACGGGAAGTTCATGAAATTGATTCAACCACTCTTAGTTGCAAGTAATTTCTGTTTCTTTTATCTGCTGCTTCCCTTAACATTAGCAGGAAATAAAGCAGTTGGGGTGATGAAAGCTGGGCAGACTTTTACAATCGAACCAATGATTAATGCAGGTAACTCTTGATGTTGGGTACTTTTCAAGCATAGTGGTTTATAATCCTTTTGTTTTGTTTGCTATGTCTTGATGGATTTTGCTCTTGTAGGGGTTTGGCGTGATCAAATGTGGCCTGATGGATGGACTGCTGTTACTGCAGATGGCAAACGCAGTGCTCAGTTTGAGCATACTCTTTTGGTAACTTTGTATTTTCCCATTTGTTTTTTCTTTTCATCATACCGCTATGTATTGTCTAGTGTTTTTAACTTTTGTCATTTTAGATAAATGTTTGGAATGACCTTTTGGCTCCTGATTAGCTACTTACCAGTGCAACCTTCATGGTTGTCTTGCAATAGTCTGGTTATATTTGTGTTGACTTTGCTTTTATCTCGGAACCATTCATGAATTTCAGTAGTAACCAAAAGATATGCGATTATATGGTGCTTGCTTGTGATTATAGTTGGCATTTAATGATAGAGAATCATGGCGTCTACACGAGTGTTTCTTACTTCTCACAGTTTCTAATGGATATTAACATGCAGGTAACAGAAACTGGGGTCGAAGTTCTTACAGCTCGGCTACCTTCATCACCGAATGTGTTTCCTTGGCTAAATAAGTAAACGAGTCTCATTATTGCATAAATAATAGACCCTAAGGTAAGTTATCCATACATATACCGTTGGCAAGAGATTATGAAGTATCCAACTTGGGGGTTCACATTACCCTTAACCCTCTTTGTTTGGTGAGAGAATCATATTTGTAAGTTAATTGGGGAGGGGGGGTTGATACAATTTTCCATTTAGCTAGTTGTGTGTGATCATGATTAAAGTGAATTTTCTTCCCCTAGGTGCTTTTATACAATAATGTTATTAATTTTTATGTACCCTGATCGAGAAGTTATGTGAATTGTTACTGTTTGTAGACCATAATAAATGGTGCATTTTTTCTTTTTATTGGAGGACTGTTTTAGAATTCTTTGTTTTAAAAATGGTCAAATATTTCAAATTTCCATTTACCACAATATAAAACTGCACAAATAACTCCTTTACTTATTTCTGTTAGTTTGTGACTTTCTGCTTTGCGGTTAATTATTGGCCCTTTTGAGTTTCAGGGAATTTTCCAAAAACTCACCTCTCCCGGAAAATTGTTCTTTACACCGTTAAAGAAACACCCAGGTCCTTGGCGCCGCCTCTGGATGGGCCGTTCAATGCATATGTATTAGATACTGATTGGGCTATTCATAGTGACACCACACCCTTTTAAGTTTTGGGCCAATTTTTTTGTATTGGCCTTGTGGTGCCTGTCCAAGCCCATTGAGGAATGGACTTATTGGCAGATTTGAGGACTTGTTTCTTTCTTTTTGTGATTGTTCTTTATTTAGGGAATGTGGGAAGGGAATATGGTTACTCTCAAGCTTCAACAGATGCGAGATGCGTGAAAGGGGCGGCATTGGCAAAAAGGGATGGATTAGGCCTACCCTACTATAAATTGATTCCTAGGTCATTTCTGAATGATTTTCTGCTATAAGAAACAAACAGATATCTAAAATTGTTGCTTTTACTTGTCTATTCCACTCGCTTATGGCAACCAACTAATAATACTATTAAACCTCAAATGCAAACAGCGATTATCACACAGCATGTCTGTGCGTTTATCATCCATAACCTCTTCCTAACATTTGCTCTTCAGTTATCTGAGGTAACCGTGCAGAAGCACAGAATATATTGATTCTACAAAAATCATGGACAGTCCGCGGCAATCTTGCATGCAATCAAACCCACACGCACAGTTAAAGCAAACAAAGACAGACAAACTTGGTCTAGAAATAAAGAGCTCCTTATGTCGTAATACAACTTCGAAAGTACAGCAATAAAAACACATCACAAAGAAAAACAGCACACTATATTAATACATACGCCGTATTGGAACAAAGACTTGCATAGAGATGGTGATTACTCATTAACCTTCATTCCAGAGAGATAAACTCGGCTCTGAATGACACTGCCACCAATCCAAAAGCCAGGCATGACCATTAGCCCAACCTTTGGTTTCTGATCAGTTTCATCCATTATCAAGTTCTTCACTACACTTTCCATATAAACCTCTGAGAACTCACTTCCCCCTTTAACTTGAAAGACCTTCACATTGGGGTCCAACGAATAAGCTAGCCTGTGCAAAAGCCAAATAGATTTAGCTAATTTTAGAAAGGCTTGGTAAAATGGAGTCCTAGGATGCCCACCACCCATTATATAATTTCGCTGGTCTAAATTTCCAAAGAATGAAGCTTCCATCTTTGGATGAACAACCACTAAGTACTTGCTTCTGCAAAATTCCCCAAATATGGAATCAGGATTCTGGCCCAACATGTCCAACGGATCCATCTCCCTCATTGTCAGATATTGGTGGAAGAAGCTCTCTTTAGTGACAGTAAGATTATCTAATTTAATGGAGAAATTCTCCTGTTGAAACCCATTGAACATCCTCTGGCAAATGTGGGACTCAAATGCATATTTTTTGTGAGCTCTCTTGGCATAAACAACGTTGGGCTCAATCGAGTCAGCGGCAGCATCAAGGTCCCAGCCAGCAGCTTTCATCATGTTGATCAATGGTTTTGAAAAATCATGAATTGCTTTGAAAGCAGATTCAACAGCGGCTGTGAAGAGCTCAGGGGTCAAATCCACAGGAAAGAATCCATTTTCTTCTCCTAAGCCTTCAGATTCCTTCATAGACAAGCCCCTAAGTTTTATATTCTTTTCCAGTTTCACTCTCTTCTGGTTTGCATCTTCAATTTGCTGCTGCAACTGATGAATCTCAGAATCCTTATTCTGAATTTCGGACTGGAATTTCTTTACCATAACCTCATAGGTTTTCAGCAAGCTCTGTTGTTCTTGGATCTCGGCAGCTAAGCGAGAATCCTGAGGAGAAGCACACACTGGCTTGGGGTTGTTTTCTCGGTAGAAGTGCTTTAGTTCAGATAGATTCTTCAATTCAGATATTACAAGTTTGTCAGCAGCTTGGATTTTTTCAGGGTCATAGGGAGTATGAGCAGTTTGGAGCTGAATATAAGCAGACTTGAGGGAGGAGATGTTTGTAAATACTTTGGATATCAGAGCTTCCACAGCTTCAGGATTCTGGTTCAAGGTCTCTTCCATGGGTTGAGGGTAGACTTTTTGACTGTTGCTGTCACGGAGTTGAGTATCTTTTGCCCCCGTCGGTAGCATAGCTGTTACCAACCAAGGGGACACTTGAAATGGAATCTTTCAGAGAAAACACTGCTACCAGAACACCTTCAAGTTTCGAAAATGTTATTAATAGAATCTAGCAGTTATTAGAAGGGAGGTAAGAAAACCTTATGCAACTTTTCAGGTATATAAAATATGACGCAAAACATCAACATGAAATTGAGTGTATAAAAAACACCTAGCTTTCACCATGCTCTATTATTCTAGCCATGATTAATGTTTTGTATGAGTATTCAAACTGAATGTAATTTACAAATCTACAACCATCTCTATCAAATTCCCCATGAGAACACAGACTAATATGTCATGTATATAATAGAATAGATAGGACCTGAGCATACCCGAAAAGATCACAAGCCCTATTCAGAATATATCCAGAAAACATAATAACCTTCAACCTGAAAACAATTGCCATTGATAAATTAAAACATTTTCATGAAAAACAATAGATTAAAACTAGATCAATAAACAATTAAAAGCCCTTTCAAACAAAAATAACTCCGACATTCATCATTTCAACTCCACATCATAGGCACAAACCTCAGCTAGACAAAGCAATGTTTTAAGAAATAAATGATAAAACTTTGAACAAATAATCATAAAAAATCAGAGACCCACACTGAATTCTTCAATAGCTAATTCGATTCCAACGCATGATCACACAAATAAAAAAAAAAAACCCAATATTTTGGAAAGATAAACAAGATGTAAATAAAACGTTTTTTATTAGCAAACCCATCAGCTTCCAGCAATAACATAAATCTTTTATGTTAAAAGCCCTTAGTTTAAAGATAAAATGCAAGAAATTGAAACCCCAAATCTAAAATTGTACAGTACTATAAGACCTAAAACTACACAGTTAACCAGTTAAAGTTTGTGTTAGCTAGTGTTTTTATTTAACTTTGTCGGAAAATAAACCGGGGTGGAAGAAGAAATATACCTGACAGGAGGAGATGTAGCCGGACGAGATGGGGAATATTTTCAGACAAAATAAAGAAGACAACGAAAGAGAAGCAAAGGAAACTTTGGTAAAGCATTGAACAGGAAACTTTGGTAAAGCTTTATTTCTAGTCGTCCACCAGGAAAAGACAAAACAAACCCTATGATGGAGTAACTCGTTTTTCATTATTTTATTGTTTTTCAGTACTGTATCTGTTACTGACCATCTACCTTAACTGTTTAAATATATATTTTTTACCATTAAGCAGCGTTTAATATTATTTTTAAAATTATCATAATAATTTATTATTAAAGTAATTTTATAATTTATGATTTAAATTTATTTTTAATTAAAATTTATTAATTTTTAATAATTAAAGTTTATTATATTTGATGTTATTAAAAATTAAATATTATTTTATTTAAAAATACTAAAATAATCATATATATTATAATAATTATACAAATTAATGACTTCAATATTATTTAAAGATAATAATTTGTATATAAAATATTAATAATATTGTATTTATTTCATAATAAATATAATTAAATTATTAAATTAAAAATTTTTTTATTGATGTAAGTAAGTTTTTATAGTATAAATTATGTAAACAAAATTTTAATTAAAAATAAAATTAATATATTAAAATCAAAAGATTATATTATAAAATTAAAAATTAAAAAATCACATAAAATATTTTTGATTTTATTACAATAAATACTAGTTTGAAAATATAAAAATTATAATATGAAATAATAAAAATTAATTTTAAAAAGAAGTAAAGTTTTTAATTTATATATGAAATAAATAATATTGATTATTGTTAATTTTACGTATGACATCATTCTGTGATAAAAGTTTTCTACTCCTTTGAATGAAAATTAAATCATTCTTTAAAATAATAATTTAATCATTCTTTGTAATTCAATATCATCGTCGCATAAAATTATTAAATGATAATCAAACATTATAGTTTAATCATCATACATAGATCACCATATTAAATATTACCTAATAGAGCTAATCTCTTTATATTAAAAGTAAAAAATAAAATTTATAGATACTAATGTATAAAAGCATATATGAAAAAATTGGTAAATGCATATTATTGGTGTATTGGAATTTTCCTTTAATAAGCATGATACTAGTATTTTGAGGGATAACACATATTATAACATTCATTTGGAAATAGGTAAACAGAGAACTGCTCAAGCTTCATTAGTTTGATCTCGAGGCTCCGTTTCTATGTTTCAGCTCTGTTCTCGAAAGATATGGGATTATAGCGCTTAGCGCAAGTAACAAAGAGGACCAAGTTAAGTGCAGTCAAGGCAGCTAAGAGAAAGAAGTATCTATCCAAATGTCCTGCATTCGAATCCGGTGGAACCCAACCTGGTTTCCCATTCTGGATGTAATTTCCATCACTGCTGTCAAAATCATACTACATATAACTACCCAATGCTGAAGAGTACATTGATAACCCAATTCCCAAACTTTTCAATCCATCTGGTGTTCGGGATACAAAAAATTCCATTTGGGCAACATATACCAATGCTTCAGACACTCCCACAAGCACATACTGTGGAGTCCGCCAGAAAATGCTTAAAGCACTTGTCTTTTTACCATTGGCATATTTTAGTCTTTGCTGCTCAATAATGCCTGCAATTATCATGGATACCATTGCAATAGCTATACCAATTCCTATTCTTTGTAGCTCGGATGGCGGCGTATGCTCTCTTTTTGTTAGTCTTACATATAAAGGAACTATGACTTTGTCGTACAATAGAATGAAAGTAGATGTGCTTACAATGTCAAATGCAAACATACAGGCTGGTGGGATATGAAAGCTTGAGATTGCTGTGTCCATGGCAGCTCCTTGCTCGACAAAGAGAGAAAGCATTTGCATGAATACCACAGAGGACAGAATGGCGCTGAGCCATATTGGTAGTAATCTTAGAATGCACTTCACTTCTTCATCCTGTGTGATGGTGCAAAGATACCATGGATTTGCTGTTTCACCCTTGTTTATTACCAAGAAAATGTCCGCCGAGGTGATAATGGTGGCTCGATCAAGAAATCTGCCATTTACAACAGAATTATTCATTACATTACCTTAAAAAACTACCATATGTAGTTTCAGTCCTTAGCTTACACGAGAAATTCAAGCACATTAAGGTTATATATTGTGACCAGATACAACGAAAGAACTTTAACTTGAAGCCATCAGTGTGAAGAATTCTTCTGACCCCATTACTTTTGTCTTCCGTTCTTTGAACTTCATAAAGCCCTTCCCCATCTGAGGGTACTTGAAGGTTTATTTTCCTCGCGGAAGCTACAATCACCTGAAAGAACCTGGAAATGGGGTTTCCAACAGTCTTGAAGTGTCTGTACCTCAAAGTCCCACACAAGAGCAAGGAAAATGCTACCATTGCACCGGTAACACATATCCAGAACCCCAGGATCCATTTCCCAATGTTCTGTTTGTATGCCAATACTGTCTCAGCAAACAAGGATCCCAGGTTTAAGGCCACATAAAAGTAGCCGTAAAATGAATTCTTTGATTGCTTTTCTTCATCATCCTCCTCATCGAACTGGTCAGCTCTAAATGCAGCAAGTGCAGGTTCAGGGGCTCCATTACCTAATGCAATCAGATAGATTGCCACATAAAATATTGCAATTTCAGCTGGAGAATGAGGTTCACATAACTGTCCTAGTCTGCCACAACCTTGAGGTTTTAATAGAAACAATTGCGTCACCAAGGACTGTGCTATCAACCCCTGACGAAAACAGAGGAAAACAATTAAAATCAGTTCAATGTGCACAAATAAAAAGACTTTTAATATGCTCATATGTACTCGCGCAGGTTTTGTCAAGGAAAGCAGAAATAGAAATGATAATCAAGTACTTGTGAAGCTTGCTTACAATAAGGTAGAGAACCTGAAATATGACACAAGTCAGGTATCTACCCAAGTAGGAGTCACTTAGAAAAGCACCCATCAAAGAGAAAAGATAAACAGTACCCATCCATCTACTGAATTTGTTTGCTGCCTCTCCATTAGTCTGTCTCAGAACAGATTTTGAAAACAGTACCAAATTCACCTCCACTGCAGCAAATGCAAGCGTAACAAGTCCTTGATTCACTGTTAGACAACAAAAAAACCCAATTATGTAAGAGATGCAGACTCATTGGATCATGGGTTTATACAATGAAAAGATAATCTTTTTGCACCCGATTGATGATACCTTCATGCTCAGTCAGATAATTAACACCTCTATATTAAAAAATTTTAAGTTCTAGTTTTGAGGGTGGAGACAGATTATAAATTCTTCCTATTTCGGATAATCATACAAGAAAAAACATGTCAGAAAATGTGGTATAGTTTCACTTTCTTTCTTGGCATCATTTAATTCATCTTTGAGGAGTGACAAAAACAATTTGGGCCACACGTTGACAAAATGAGCATTATAAAACAATAAAAATTATTATATTCAATTAAATGGATATTTATTAAATCAAACTGTCAACTGCAAAATCCTTAATTATACTTCACTGACGGACTGATAGTGTATCTGTTTTTAATTTGCTTGTTACCTAATACAAACATAGCACATCTCCATCCTCCAGTTCTACCCGTTATGGCTGGCTTGCCATGGCGGTCAAGCGATCCATCCTTTGCGCAAGCATTCTCATCAGGTCTCTTTCTGTCGTCCTTTGCTTGATCAGGCTCAAGCTCAACCACCTTCCATGCAAGATGCAACGCAAGAGAAGAAGAAAGAATCAAACAGGGGAAGTTGTATTCAAATCAACAGAAGCAGGTGAAACAACAAAACAACAATATCTAGATAAGCATTGAAACATGCAAGGAAACCTGTAACTTCCGTACCTCAATACCATAGCTAACTGAAGATTGCTGCTTTGTCTCCATATCCTTGTACGAAATTCAACGAGAAAAGAGGGAAGAGAGTAATGGGGATACTGAATTACTAATGAATGTGGTGAGTGAATAAATATACAAGACGTGTCTGTCACAATAAATGATAGCTCGTTTTTCCTGTCTATGTTGGTTTGGCAAATGACTTTTGTTGCATTAAAACATGGGACAAGACAACAACACGTTATCCATTGTTCACTTCAGATACCATATCAGTATACTCCACATTGAAGGTTTGACAACTGGATTTACTCTCCTTGGTCACACTTCCTTATAAACAAGACGCATGCTATAATGGTCTGAAAATGCCTGGTCAACTACTTCAAAGTTTACCTGTAATTAACTTTTGTTTTAACTAAGATTTGTCCTCATACTTTGCTTTTATTGTTCCACCAACACTTAGCATCTCAATATATACATACAACTTATACTAACTTTTATGGTTCTTTTTTTTTAACAAGTGTTTTAAGAGTATTTTCTTAAATTTACTCTGTTAAGTAATATTTAATTTTTATTTGAGAATCTTAAATTTTAAATTAAAAAAACTATTGTCATGGAAGATTGGAAATAGAAATTGATCAATGTTGGAAAACCAATTAATTTTACAGATAAGAAGTCATACAAATAATAAATGTAGAATCTAAAGTTGATATATCATTAAATTCATGCATTTAAGATCAATTAATTACTTTTTTTTCTTCTTGGAAGCATCCAGACCTTACATCTCTATTCTGTTAATCTTCATAGGGATCCATCCTTGAATGGTCTAAAGTCTAAACGTCGCAAGGAACCTTCAGCTTAACCATCTGATGGGTAATGCAGGTTGCTCGTTAAGATGGCACCAGTTCAGAATACGAAGATGGGCATCAAACATATTCATGAAACCCGTAATGGGTAAAGGCGTAAAGCAATTAGAGAGCTGCATATCATGCTTCAGTACTTTCTGTGAAATCGTCTGAGCTTTGCACCGCATCTCTGTTGTTTTCTTAATTCTTATGATTCACATGCAGTGATGTAGATAATGAGTTATGGGCCATACATAAAGGGCCGGGCTCAAAACGAGAGAGGCCCGGAAATGGGAACTGCGTAAAAGAATTTTTGGGCTCTCGAGTATAAGGCTGGTTTGCCCAGGTTAATCCCGATCGGGCCCACACAAGATCCACCGAATTTTTCTAACATGAAGCGTGTTCTTATTGTTAGAAATGAGGAGTATGCGCTTTGTAGTTTTTATTGGGCGCCAAGCCGAAGCAAGGAAGTTAGAGATGGAAATATGGAGGCTGCCAATCTCAGCGTCGCAAAGAGGGAAGCTAATATCAGCTGGCTACACTTCCCTCTCTTCACTTTCTTCTGTCTCTTCATCTGACCTTGCTCGGGGTGATAAACTCTTTACCTCTTATATGAATCTCCCTATTTTAGCAATGCAAGCCCACCAGCTGTTTGTTTTTTCTACCAATCGAATTTGAATTATTTCCAAAACACCAATGCCTACTAATTTCCCTCATTTTGCTTTCCTTCTAACACTTGAACCTGAAAAATCTCTTTTCTGCTTGAATCGGTGTCTGTTCCTGCAGAGTTTCATATTCCTAACGTTGTTTTTCTTTTTATGCAGAATTAAAAGTTTCTGAAAGTGAAGCTCTGGATATTCTGAAGGTTGCATCTCATTCACATAGTAAGGGATCAGAAATGTCGAGTGCAAATTGTTCAATTGTTGAAGGTATTCATCATTTCTCTGCTATATAGAGCTTTCGTGTAGGCAAGCTTCGGTTTATTTGGTAAAGTTAAACTTAATGCGTTCCCTTCACACTGATGTTTATTGAAATTTGAAACTGCCCTTTTTTTATTTCTTCTTATTCAGGTAAAAGGGAAAATGGAATCATTAGTTTATGCCCATATGACCTTTTCAGCTTCATATAGTTTTGGACACTTTCCATCTTTTGGCAGGTGCACAGAATGCCTGGGATTTGCTCCATGAGGAGGAGTCATTGATGCACATAACTACGTCCTCTGCGGATCTAGATAACATCTTGGGTGGTGGAATACATTGCAAAGAAGTTACTGAAATTGGTTGGTCCCACTCTCTATTCTTCTTTGGACTATTTGGTTCATTCTATAATCATCATTGTACTCTAATTGTTAATTTTGTATTAAAGTATATATAAATTGTCAAATGCTTTGTTAGTGAAAATATTATCTTTTTTATTCTGATAGGTGGAGTCCCAGGCATTGGTAAAACACAGCTGGGGTAGGGGTTGTTTCTTGTTGTCAAGGTTTTGCTTGCATGTTACATCAGATTTATTTTGCAGTAATTCCGCTCCTATTTACAGGATTCAAATAGCTGTTAATGTTCAAATTCCAGTTGATTTTGGGGGCCTGGGTGGGAAGGCCATATATATCGGTAACTTTCATAAAACTGCTGCATGTTTATGTACTGGTTTGCCATTAGATTTAGGTTGCTGACATTGTGATCATATGATGCTTAGACACGGAAGGCAGTTTTATGGTGGAGCGTGCATTTCAAATTGCTGGAGCATGCACAGAGGACATGTCAGAATATAACAGGTTCTTAAGGAAGGATTTCCAAGCATGCAAAGTCAGAATGCAACCCAAGGATATGCTGGAAAACATATTTTATTTCCGTATCTGCAGTTACACAGAGCAAATTGCCCTGATAAATTACTTAGACAAGTTCATTTCAGAACATAAAGATGTAGGTATAGTAGTAATATGCTGGCTCCTATCCTTTTTTGTTAAGGCAATATCTGTCTTGGGGTTTGTTTGGTTATCAGTGCTGCTAATTACTTGCTTAGATCAGTGAATGGATATATCATTATTGCCACAGGTAAAGGTGGTTGTTGTGGATAGTGTTACCTTCCATTTCCGTCAAGATTTTGATGACATGGCCCTCAGGACTCGAGTTCTTAGTGGAATGGCTTTAAAATTGATGAAGCTGGCCAAAAAGTACAGTTTGGCGGTAAGAACAAGTTTTTTCTCTTTGTAAACTTCAAATTTTTTTTTTTCATAGAACATTGTTTGACCTACCTAATCATGATGCATCTTTTCTGTATGCTTTTTTATTTTTCTTTATTTATTTCTATTTTTATCATGCTTATTGCTATGTAGTTTCAGTCTTTGGAGTGTATCAGAAGGCACATAGATGATTTCGCCTTTGGTTGTGTGCTTACTGGTTTCTACCTTGCCTCCATTTGCAGGTCGTTTTATTGAATCAGATGCTTTCTGGTTTCTAATTTTCCTACTTTTGGCAGGTTGTTTTATTGAATCAGGTGACAACTAAGCATACAGAAGGTTCCTTTCAATTAGCTCTTGCACTAGGTAATATTAATTCCCAGTCATCTGTGCCACTTGCTTAAACTTCTAGTTTCCTTGCAACTATAAATGCATAGTCACACACATATTGTTGTATGCTTGTCCATCGCCATATTTTCAATGCTTAACATACATAGTACAACCATGCTGAGTAGGTGATAGCTGGTCGCATACTTGCACAAATCGGATTGTTTTATACTGGAATGGTAACGAACGGTATGCTTATATTGACAAGTCACCTTCTCTTCAATCAGCATCAGCAGCATATTCTGTTACAGCTAGGGGGATTAGGAATTCCTCCTCAAGCTGTAAACGGATCAAAATGATGTAAGCTATAGATGGAACTAGAGGAAGGCTACACCCGTTTTTCCATTTGTGCCTTCTCTTCCTTGATGATAAACAGACAAAACCGAGGGCCTTCCCTTTGCTTGAAATGAAAAATGTGCTTCATACTGAAATATTCCTCCAATGGATAGTCTCTGAACTAACCATTACAATTACTAGAACATGGGTTTGTCTCAAATGTTGTTTGCACGAGATAACCCATTGACCTCGTAGCAAATTAAATTGGTAATTTCATTCTCCCTTGGCCCATTGATCATGTGATTGCTGCTGCTGGATACATTTACGAATAGCTAAACTTTGATCTTGTTTTTGCTTGTGTTGCTATCCTCCGATTGGGCAAAGATTTTCCTACTTTATACTTTAATCAAGTATGTTCACTTCTAATACATGCTTAAATTGCATTTAAACAGTAGTCAAACGTGAACAATGAGCGTAGGATTAAAGTTTTGATTGGCAGGCGACTCTTATCTGTAACCTAACTTTTGCAAGATTTTTGAACAAAAAATTCAATTCCAAGAAGCAAGTTAGATATTCTTGACCAACTCCACCGAAGTAGGTTGAATTCTACCTGCCAACAACCTTCGACCTTTTGCTTTTCGATGATGCCATCTTTAGTTAAGCATCGTTATGTTGGTCCAATAAAAAAGATTTTTACATTAATATAATTTTCCAGAGGCGGCCAAAGGTTTTAAATTCTTTTTTATGGAATATTTCTTATAATATTATTTTGAGAATTAAATTTCAAATATAGACAAATGCCGTTTATATATATATATATGTCTTCCAAACACACGGCTTTGACTCCCAATTTCGGGGCTTTGTCTGGTAATCTTGTCATAAATAATCTATTATTTATAATTTATCAACAAAGGCTTACAGTTTTAATCGGATTGCAACGCCGCATCTCTACATAAAATTAAAAAATAAAAACCTTAAGTCATTAAAATTTAAAAAGAAAAGGATTTTTGGACGGACAACCTTAAAAAAGGAAAAGGTTTATAAAAAAAATGGGAAAAAAAAAAAAGAAATGAAAGGCAGGGATAGCAATATCAAATTCCTACCCACAGTCAATGGTGGAGATATGGCCATCTTGGAATCTAACGGTCAGCTGACTCTATCTGTCCCTTTGTGCAGACGAGAAGATCAATAAGAGTTGGTGGCTACTAATTCTTGCCTTCTCCCTCTCGATTATAACAATTAAACTCTCTTCTCTTCACCTTATCAAACAAAGAGAGGGTCCCTTCCCTTTCGCCAACCTCACCCTATCACTCACTCACTCGGCTCAATCTAAAAAAACAATGGCCTCTGCTTCTTCTCTTACCCTATCCCAAGCCCTCCTGGCTCGCGGCATCTCTTCCCATGCCTCCAACCAATCCTCTGACAACCGCGTCTCTCTCTCCACCCTCTCTCTTCCCACTTTCTCCGGCCTCAAAGCTACCGGCCCCCGCGCTTCCACTTCCCGTCGGCGCCTTCCCACGCGCTCCAACCAGAAACGCCAAGTCCGTGCTGCTGCCGTGGAGACAATTGGCACTGCCGCCGAGACTTCCTTGGTGGAGAAATCGATCAACACGATCAGATTCTTGGCTATTGATGCTGTCGAGAAGGCGAATTCAGGTCATCCTGGGTTGCCCATGGGCTGTGCTCCGACGGGTCACATTTTGTACGATGAAGTCATGAGGTATAACCCGAAGAACCCTTATTGGTTCAACCGTGATCGTTTCGTGTTATCCGCCGGTCACGGTTGTATGTTGCAGTATGCTCTGCTTCACCTCGCCGGTTACGAAAGTGTCCTGGTAAAGATTTTTTTACAAAAATTCTTTTCTTTTTATAATTAATTTCTATTTGAAATCTTTCAACTTTGGATTTTCTTTTTAATTCTGGTTGGTGAAAATTGGATCTGGGTAAATTTCTTTATATTCTTTTTTCAATGTTTTCTTGATGATTTTTTAATTGTTAGGTAGTAGTTTTTTAAGGTGATTCATGGTAAAAAAAAAAAGGTTGATTCTTGAACTGAAGGACTAAAAATTATGATCATTGGGTTATCTTTTAGGAAGATGATTTGAAGAATTTCCGTCAGTGGGAAAGCAGAACCCCAGGACATCCCGAGAACTTTGAAACACCTGGAGTTGAAGTCACAACTGGTTAGTTAGATTCCTTTCTGAAAGAGATTGTATTTGTTTTTTATCATAAAAAATGTCATACTAAAAATAAACCAAATGTATGTACTTTATATGTGGCGTTTTACTTTACATGTAGGTCCTCTTGGTCAAGGTGTTGCAAATGCTGTTGGATTGGCTCTTGCAGAGAAACACTTGGCTGCTAGATTCAACAAGCCAGACAATGAGATCATTGATCACTACACGTATGATTACACACTAGTTCTCTCTTTTCTATTGCTTGGATGCTTAATCTTTTATTGATATATCTGCCTTTGTTTTTGTAGATATGTTATCTTGGGAGATGGTTGTCAAATGGAGGGTATTGCTAATGAAGCTTGTTCACTTGCTGGACACTGGGGTCTTGGGAAGCTTATTGCTTTCTACGATGACAACCACATTTCGATTGATGGTGACACTGAAATTGCCTTTACTGAGAGCGTTGATAAGCGTTTTGAGGGGCTTGGGTGGCATGTTATATGGGTCAAGAATGGAAACACTGGCTATGATGATATTCGTGCTGCTATTAAGGAAGCAAAGGCTGTCAAAGACAAACCCACTATGATCAAGGTTAGATATTTTCAAAATGCTCACATTCCTAAATCTTGTTTGGAAGTAATACGCTTGCATTTTACATTGATGTAAATCTTATATGGTTGAAATTCGAAGTTTCATCATTGTTAGTTAAACTAATTTCTATGCTATAGGTTTTGTTAAAAAGGCGTTGCATCATATTAGAAGCATAAAGAATGCCATAATTGTAAATTGAAAAATCTTGCATCTCTCTTCATATTTTATCTTGATTCTGTTATTGACTTTATAGACAGATTAGGCTTGTAAAAACTGCATGACACAGGATGTCATTTTATGGAAGTTGCTTCCTCTTCTTGTTCTTTGTAGGTGACAACCACTATTGGTTATGGTTCTCCAAACAAGGCAAACTCATACAGTGTACATGGTAGTGCACTGGGTGCCAAGGAAGTGGATGCTACTAGGAAAAACCTTGGATGGCCATATGAGCCTTTCCATGTACCTGAAGATGTTAAAGGGTAAGGAGATTAGTGGAGATTTCTACGTATGCATCTGTTTATGTTTTCTGCTTTGGTGTTCAAAACTTTCTTGGCATTTCTGCAGTCACTGGAGTCGCCATGTCCCTCAAGGTGCTGCTCTTGAAGCCGAATGGAATGCCAAGTTTGCTGAATATGAGAAGAAGTACAGAGAGGAAGCTGCAGAGCTCAAGTCAATCATCACTGGTGAACTACCAGCTGGCTGGGAGAAGGCACTTCCAGTGAGTAGACCTCTGATTGTCCTTAGTCAAACACCCATATTCTTAGACAATCTCCTTCATAGGGATTAATACAGTATGATTATATTGGAATGTAAAAATGTCATTGAGCCTTTTTTTGTTTGCAATTTCCAGAAATACACTCCCGAGAGCCCAGCTGATGCTACCAGAAATCTCTCTCAACAAAATCTCAATGCCCTTGTAAAAGTACTCCCTGGTCTTCTTGGTGGAAGTGCAGACCTTGCTTCTTCCAACATGACCTTGCTCAAAATGTATGGTGATTTCCAGAAGGACACCCCTGAGGAACGCAATGTTAGGTTTGGTGTTAGGGAACATGGAATGGGAGCCATCAGCAATGGCATTGCCCTTCACAGCCCTGGCTTGATTCCATACTGTGCTACTTTCTTTGTCTTCACTGACTACATGAGGGCTGCCATTAGGATTTCTGCCTTGAGTCAAGCTGGTGTTATCTATGTTATGACCCATGATTCTATTGGTCTTGGGGAAGATGGACCAACCCACCAGCCAATTGAGCACTTGGCAAGCTTCCGTGCAATGCCTAACATCTTGATGCTTCGTCCAGCTGATGGAAATGAAACTGCTGGTGCATACAAGGTTGCTGTCCTCAACAGGAAGACACCCTCAATTCTTGCCCTCTCTAGGCAAAAGCTGCCCCAACTAGCTGGAACTTCCATTGAGGGGGTTGAAAAGGGTGGCTACATTGTTTCTGACAATTCTTCAGGCAATAAACCCGATGTAATTCTGATTGGAACTGGTTCTGAGTTGGAGATTGCTGCTAAAGCCGCTGATGAACTAAGGAAGGGAGGAAAGGCCGTTAGGGTTGTCTCCCTAGTTTCTTGGGAGCTCTTTGATGAGCAATCAGATGCCTACAAGGAAAGTGTTTTGCCATCTTCTGTATCAGCTAGGGTGAGTATCGAGGCTGGATCAACATTTGGGTGGGAGAAGATTGTTGGAGCCAAAGGGAAGGCAATTGGAATTGACCGGTTTGGGGCAAGTGCACCAGCAGGGAGAATATACAAGGAATTTGGTTTAACTCCAGAGGCTGTTGTTGCAGCTGCAAAAGAACTTTGCTAGGTTTGGTTAGAACTCTCAGGAGAAACTTGTGATTTTGGGTTGGAGATTCCACTGAAGACGTCATTCCAGTTGTGACACGTTCTCTTTTGTTTTAATAAGAAACAGAATCAATTTTCTTCTGTTGCTTATGATTCATCAATAGCAACATGGAACGAAACTGAGGTTAGAGTTTCTGTAAGTTTATGAATTTCTTACTCCTCTTGGACTTTTCCCAGAATTTTGGATACTTGTTTTTTGTTAAGTTGGAGTTGTCTACTACTGTAATTTCGGTTAGTGTTCAAGAACCTCAAATCATTATTTTGATCATATATGCTTGGCCTAAGATGTAAGACGAGTTTGAATAATTTTGCTTTTCCAAATAAGTATAACCAATTTGATTCTCCACCCTCAATTGCTCATTTCTTCCTGTAGTTTAACGTTTTGAATTGATGTATCAAGTAAATAAAGAAAAGGACGGCCGTACCTTGAATAAAAAAAGAGTGATGGGTCACGGGTGGTAGAAATTAGTGGTTAGGTTCCAGCCAGAAGAAACGCAACTTATACGTACATGAAACCGAATGTGATTGGGAAATGGTTTCAAGCCACTCAAAAAGGCCAGGAGAGGTTTCATCCTTATGGATGGAATGGGACCAATTAACCAATAGAATGAAGCCAAGAATTCATAAGAAATTTGTCTGGGATCCACTAGGGAAGAAGGAAACCTAATGATCTATTGATAAGTTTGTGGCAGCTGGAGATACTGTCCTTACTCCGCCTATCCTCATTGTCTTTTATTGTCAAAAGTTATTTGACAAGCATTGGTTACCGAAACTCGGGGAAACCTTATTATTGAAACCATTTTCAGCACTTTTTTTTTTAAATAAATAAATATATATATATATATATATATATATATCTCTCTCTCTCGGTTTATTGCAATGAAATGAAAATGGCTGTCAAGTCTGGTATTCCCATGGGACCCATTTTACGAACATGGTTTGTGGAACGTGTTTGATTTGGACATGAAGGTACTTCAGCATATTCAACATTATATCCGGATCGCAGCATGTTCTTTCTTCAGCTGCCCCCATTACTTTGGTGGTGGTGGTGGTGGTGGAAGGTCTACCTACGAAACAATTACAACTGACAAGTTTTTTCCAAAGATTTCCTTGGTTATTGCTTTCATTGTTTTTTTTTTTTTACAAATAAATTAGAAGACAACGCTGGGCTCAACAGTAATGCTGTGCTGATTACTGTTCTATGAAAGTAGAATTTAATGGACAAATTGAAGCACTCAAGAAGCAGATAAATAAATCGAGGAGTTAATTCATTGAAGAACAGTACACTTCGTCTATAACAATATGAACATCCAATGTAACAAATATATAGAACCCATAGCATCGAAAGGCATTAAGCATTCCTTCAAGACGTTGGTGTTTTCCATGAAACTAGGCTGCCGGTGTGAACTCGCACAAGATGATACCAAACAATGCATCATATTTTTAGTGTCTCCATGCTGTAAGCAATACACATCCCGCTCTGGCATTTATAGATTTATCAAAAACATCAGTTCTTGGTTAATCCAACCAATATATTGTGTAAAACAATTGAAAACCTTTTATTTACGGAACGCTTCTCAATTTCGTGATAGATTTCCCACATTCCTGATTGGACTGACATCCTTCAAAATATGTATAGCCAAGCCAGACATTAAACAAGTAGTTGAAAATTGAAAAAATATGATCCCCCACCCTAAGAAACACCACTGATTTACGATGTCCGTGTGGAACAAATATCTTATGAAGACTTTCATTTGCCACATTCATGAGAATAATATGACAGTTTTCATTATTCAAATTCATATGTGATTAGGGATATAAATGATATATATATATATATATGTTTATAAATTATTGAGATTTGATTGAAATAAAATTTAAATTCGATTTGATTATTGTCGAATTAAACTTAAACTTTAGTAAATTAATTTATTGAGTCAAATTCAAATTTCTTAACATCTAACTCAAGAAATTCGCTAATTTAATTGAACTTTTTTTAATATATATTTTTATTATTTTATCCATATTTAATATATATATATATATATTCATCCCTGTTACATAGAATTGTAACATGTGAACTATTACGTATGTAATTTTAATCTGTCATGTAAGATCATTAAGTTATCATATATTAACTTTAAGTTGTTAAGTCATTTAAGCTTAATTATTTATTGTTTATGACTTTCATTTTTAAGGTTTAGAGCCAATAATACTTCATCTTTCATTCTTAGCCTATTGCCTCATCGATATTGCATTCTTTTTTTATTTATCTTAAAAAATATATTTTATTTTCTTATTTAAGAGACAATAAATCTTTGAAATAATCTTTATAGCATGAGATAAGATGAATTTGCATTATTCAAATTCTTCTTTTAATAATAAGTTGTTTTTCTTACTTATTATTATCTATTTATTACTTTCAATTTTCATTAAAAAAAAAAAAACCCATTCATCTAGCATTTGATTATAAGTATAAATATTTTTCTACTTAAATTAAAAAAAAATCCATTATCTATATTGAAAGGTTTAATGGGTACATTCATCATATAAGTAATATCTTAAATAAATGTTGCCAAATTCTGGTCATATCTTTTTATCTCTTTCTTCTCTCAAATTCCTTTTTGTTTCTTACATTTGTTTTGAAAAATTTACTTGAAAAAAAAAAAATCTACAAAGAAATCACCAAATTTAAAATTTATTTAATAATTATCTAATCGTCAATATTCATTCAAATTATTTGCAATCTCTCTTATAATACAAGTATTTGTTTTAATTTTCCTAATTATAAAAGTTATATTTTTATTATATTATCATTGTGTTATAATTTTGATTTAATAGTAAAGATTTTAATAAAAAAATGTGAAATAAATCAAAACAACTTATTAATGACTTTGTTTTTCTTTGTTTTTTATTTCTTTTATTTTTTAAGATGAAATGAGTAAAGAATTTTATTAAAGATTGTTGGTTAGTACATAACTTAGTTGAAATTCATTTACCTCTTTTGATTGTGGAAAAGATAATATTTTTTATTTTATATATTGTTTTTTTTTAAATTTTAAAATCTATGAAATATTTAAAATGTGGCAACAAAGATTTTTATTTATTTTATTTTTTAAAATATATGTTTTATCGTTATAACACCGGTTGCTATCTTACTATGAATACATAAGTATCCTAACTGACTCAGCGCACAAAAATTTATACCTCTTTTTGTTTCCTTTTTTGATTGGGGATTATTTATTTATTTACTAGTTGATGCCCTAGCTTCGCCAAGGAATTTTATTTATATTGATATTAATATAATTATATTTTATTAATTTAAAAATTAAATATATAAAAAATAATTATTTATAAATTATATAATATAAATGCATTGGCTTGAAAATAAATACCAATTATTATTATTACTATTATTATCTAAATTTTTATATCATTTGAGTCAAATTTTAAAAAAATTTTCACATAACAAAATTTAAAAAAAAAAATCAACAATTTATGATTTTTAAAAATTTCATCATTTGAATAATTGTCATTTACTTTCAAAATTATCATGTACTCTCTCTCTCTCTCTCTCTTTTTTTCTTTTTTCTCTTTCTTCTTTTTAGAATAAGATGAATTACAAGTAAAAATATCAAACATTTTCAAATCCATATGACATTTTTCATATTTCAACAAACATTCATCAAGGATTTTTTTTTTTAATTTCCTAACCTTAGTTTAGGAATCATTAATTTAGGAAATGGATTTATTAACTCTAAATGTCTTAACCTAGATATTTTGAAAAATATTAATTTAGGAATCAAACAGTTGAAGATTTTTTTTAATATTTAATTATTTAATTAATATTTAAAAATAATTTAAATTAAATCAAATTACATTTGTTTATTTAAATAATAATTATTTTTATATGTTTTAATATTATTAATACTAGTTATTATAAATTACATAATAAATATGATCACATAATAATTATTTTTTCATAAAACTCTTTCCTTTTTAAATTCCCAATGTAAAAAAATATAACTAAAAGCATAAAAATAATAACCAAGTCAAATTCAAAGATACTCATATAATTCTATAGTTTAATTAACCCTCAAATTTCAAATAATTATTTATGGCAAGTGTTAATTGTTTAAAAATTGAAGCTCAAAAATCTAAATAAAATCTTTAAATTCAATAGGGATAACTTTAATGTAATGGTATTGATGATATTGGTTCTATCTTTGCTATTTGAAATAACATATAAAATAAATATTTGTAAATAAACATTAAAAAAATATTTCTAATGAATTCAAAATGCTTCTAAAAAACAATGAAAATAAACTATTTATTTTTTTCAATTAGATTAGATTACTTATAATGGGCCAACCCTTTTCATAAAAAAATGAGTCTTCCTTTTATTGTTATCATATTTGTTTTTAAAATCCTTTAACTAAAGATTAATATGATCATTTTATTATAAAATACAACTATCTATTTCTAAAGTTATTTGGGATATATTTTGTATGTAGTTTATAGATTATTAACGAACGTGGTCAATTAATAAATAATTTATTAAACATCATTAAAAAATCAATTTCCTAATTTATCCCCAATTCTATTGGTTCTATTAATATCTCAATTACAAAAAATTTATTACTAAAAGTTTATTTATTTTTTACTCAAAAAGAAAAAATATATTTTTTTGGACTTCGAACAGCGATTGTCAAGGGGGCTGCAAATAACGCTACAATTTATCTATGCGGACTTAAAAACAACGCTACGCGGGTCACCCGACCCTACAAAACCCTCTCTTTGCTCCATTTTTCCCTCTCTGTTTGGGTCTTTTCGGTCTCTCTCTCTCCCTTCCTCTACCCAACCTTTCTAGTTCTGATTTCTCCGACACCGTAAACTTCCGGTCTCTCTCCTCCTCTCCCGTTTCAGATCGACCCGAAAAGTTCGCTTTTTCCGAAACCCTAATTTCTCATCTCTCTATTTATTTTTTTCTCTTGCACTCCCACTGCTCCACTGCTGGATAATGCATGGTGATTCCTTCTTTTTCCCTTTTTAATAATAGGTTTCACAATTGCAAGTACGTATAATGGCTAGGGCTTTATTCGCGATTCATTGAAGCATTGAACACCTTTTTTCCTGGTATATCTTCTTTCCTCTTTGTCTAGCTTTTTTATTATTTTTTTAGTGTTAAATAAATGAATCAGAAGGAAAAAGGAAAAAAAAAAGGTTCAATCGCCACTGAAGAATTGACTCTTTTGATAGCAAATAAATGGAAAAATGGATCCCATGTTTGGTTCATGGCGTCACGTTTACCGCATTTAATTTATTTTCGCAATGTTAATTCAAATTGCGCATAGATTCTGTGGAATTTATTTATTTATTAGTTATTCTAGTTTCCCTCTTTGTTTAATCTGCTTTCTGCTTCGTTTTCTTTTATCAGTTTTAGAGCAAAAACCTGTGGGGTAGAGAACTATATAAACGAAGATGTTTGGTGCAACTAACAGTAAGTTTTTCTCTTACCTTTAATTCTTCCCGTTAGAAATCATATTTTGGTTTGATTGGTTGATTTAATATTTCGATGTATGTATAATTGCTTCCATTCGTTTTTAAAACGGGAAGCTCGTGCTAGAAACTTTTATATAGGCATCGTGAAATTCGGAATTTCTGATTGGTTTTCAGGTTGAAAATTAGCTTCATTGTTTAAAAAGCAATTATATGCTGCGTCCGTGATATTCTCAGATCGTTATCTTACTTTTTTTAGGTTATTCTTTTCTTTTATTATTATTATTCTTTTTGGCAGTTTTCTCTACTGCATTTTATCTCAGCAAAATTCTTTACTGGTATCCCGATAGTGCTCTGTTCCCTAGTAGCTGTTTATCAGGTTGTATAGCTTCTTGCTCTGCTACTCGTTATAATATTTTAATTAGCAAAATTGTTAAGCTTGTTATTGGTCAATTATTTGTGCTTTGTCTGTGATTTATATGCTTGTAATTTTTCATTCGTGTTTATGATTTGTTGTTACCTTTAACCTATGTGTTACATGTTGTAAACATCGAATTTTATTCGAGTCTACATTTTTTAATAATAATAATAATAATAATAATAAATATTTTTTAAAATAATAAAAAAATAATAATATTGGTTTAATCATAATTAAAAAAATTAATTAAATTAAAAATAAATAAATAAAAAAGAAAGAAAGACAAACAAAAAAGTCCAAACAGAAGAAGAAACAGAAAAAAAAAGGTTGGTGACAGCGGGTGCCGCACACGGCACTGTTGGCCACCCATACCCTGCCAAGCCGGCCTAGCCATCATGTCACTACGCCAGCCATCATACCACCCCCTCGTCCAGTCCCTTCACTCCATCAGCACATGCTACCACCATTTCTAACCTTATAAAATACTTGATCTCCCTCTTTTGGAACTCTCGGATATCCCCTCACCAGAACACCAAAAAACATGCACCCTTACCAAAAATATCTCACACGAAAAAAAAAAAACCTAAACAATCCCCCAAATACCCAAACACAAAAACAAATAGATCTACGAAAATCAACACAAAAAATAAAAATAAAAAATCACATAAAACAGAAACCACAGTTCTCGCTGAATCGGCGAGGAACCCAACGCCAAGGAGATACCTACAATAAAAAAGAAAGGTCATTAGTTTGAGTTTTTTTTTTTTTTAAAGAAGAACAGAAAACTTTGAATCTCGATCTACATCGATTGTGGTCGTTTTCGACGAAGAGGAGATCAGATTTGGAAATATTGCGTCGAAAGGAGCTTCTAGGAGGATTTCAAAATTTCTTACCACCGACGGTGGCCCAGACGACGGTTAGTGCGGCAGTCCGACTACGGACGGCGAGGGCCCGAACCTTTTCCCAGAACTCTCTCTCTCTTTTTTTTTTCCTTAGAAACAGAAAATGAACTGAAAAAAAAAAGGGCTAACTTTTATAAAGAAAACATAAAAGCAAAACGACGTGGTTTTGAGCATAGGGTCAAAACGACGTCGTTTCAAGCATAAGAAGATCTGTGCGTGGATCGAACCCGACTCAAGATTTGAGTAAAACGACCCATCAACCCGCCTTAGCCACTCTCCAGTCGGTTCGAATGAACCGCCAGTGAACCGATCGAACTGATCTAAACCTCTGGATCGCCTGAACCGCTGATTGAACCTCCGAACCGATCAAACCGATCTAGACCAGCGTTGACTAAACCGTTGATTGGTTTGGTTCAGGTAAAATTTTTTTTTTTTAATTTTCTAATTTTTTTTATATATATTATTATTTTTGTTATTTTAAGTTTTTTTATTTATGCATGATAAAATATTTAAATTTATTAAGATAAATATCTAATTGTTTTTAATAATAATAAAATGAGAACAATATAGGATAATAACTAAAAAAAATATTAAAATAATAATAATAATAGAATTTTTTTTTTTACTTTCCTTACCTAGATGTTGGAGGGAATTAAGCCATGTTTCAAAAATAATAATTTCGCCTAGATATTGAGGAATTATTATTATAAAAAAACTAAATAAGTTAATAATATTTTTGATATTAAGTTTTCATAAGAAAGGGAATTTTTTTTAAAAAAATTTGTATAAAAAAATTATGTTTCTTAAATTAATTTCTAAAAAATTATAGAAATTGAACTTGCTCCGAAAGTTCACCTAGATGTTAGAGATTTTTAGAGATGTTCGCATTTTAATTAAACCCCAAACTTAAACCCTAAACTTTTACTCTAAATTTATTTCAAAACCTTAAGGATACGTGTGAAAATCTCATATGAAATGGTTTGTTCCTGAATGCTGCCTAAATAATGGGATATTTAGGAAACTCCATTTCATTAAGTTTTTCACACGAGTTCTTAATTCACATTAATAATAAGATTAATAAATAAAAAATATAATAGTAAATTGGATTCTTAAATAAAAACAGTCGCACCTAAGCTTTTCTAGATGTTGAAGAGTCAGGGTGGTCTCATTATACTTAAGAATCCAACTTTTAAATTGTATTTCTTTTTACATGACATTCATTAGCATACATATTTAGCGTGTTATCATATTCTCTCTTTAATCTTTATTTATTATTTGATGATAAAATATTTTATAATAAAAAGAATAAATTAATTTTTTTTTGTGATATTATAAAATAAAATAAAAATAACATTTCAAAAAAAATAATTCTTGGTATTTTGCCTAAATGTTAGAGAGTCACTAACAATTATCTTCTATAAAGATTATTATTTCATTTAAGAATTACGTGTTAAACTTAAGCGAAAAAGTTATTTTAGATTTGCCTAGATGTTGGAGAATTTTAAAATAATCTTTAACTTTAAGATTTCTCATATTCCTAAATAAAGAGCTTTAGCAAATTTTATTTTTCAAATGAAGGGAATTAGTGTTAAATTTTCAATTGAAACCATTTTTATCCAACATCGAAAATAGCGCATAATTAAATGGTATCAATTTATGGGCATTGTAGGGGTGCTAATCTTTCACCACACGTAATCGACTTCCGAGCTTAACCTAATTTTTCGTAGATCGAAATTTAATCTTTTTGATAAACTTTATACTCGTTTTTATAGTTTTGTTAAAAAGATAAACTTTTGGGTGGTCAATCACACCCTAAAAAAAATTGGTGCGACTTCCCTTTTATTTCTCTCGATTTTAAAATACTTTACGTTTGGCAGTCTCAAAATCGTTATGACAGCTTGGCAACTCCACTGAAGACTTTAATTTGAGAGTTAAGCCAAAACTTTTAATTACACGCTGTTAAGAATTGTTGGATTTAATTGGTTTTATTTGATATTTCATTTAATCTCTTTTATTTTGATTTTTGAAAAAATATGCGTTAATGAATAAGATAAATTGTATGTTAGTTGTTATTTTATTTTAATTTTGTGTTTATGATATTTTGATTAATACATTATTTTGCACACACTTTGCATATTCATGCATAAGCTCTAGACTCGGGCTCTATCCCTTTTAGGAGGAAGTGAAGTAACTACACTCACGTGAGGTGATAACCTCCGTATTTGCTAGCGAAACACTTCCACTCAGATTGAACATGTTCCGTTAGTAGCCTGTAATAGGAGAGGATCGGGGAGCCTTACTAGTTTATAATGGACGATGATGTGAGGAATAGTCTGAGAACCTTTAGACACGTAAATCTTAACCCGGCATATAGTGTAAGGTCCAACTTTAGGATAAAGCCATGCTGTCCCTTTTACGAAAAAATGAGCTAAATTAGGACACTATGTATATTTTGTTATGACGCATGTTCATTCATTTACTCATTTTTATTTATTTGTTTTATTTACATTATTGATTTGTTTAATTCTTTTTTTGTCTCCAACTTTGTTGCATGCATCATATAGGTATCATATTTTTAGACGGTATTGTTTTGGATCAATCTTCAGTAAGAAAAATTTTTAGAAAACCTAAAGGATCTTATCCGTGTGTAAGAGCTACTTAGAGGTCAAGAGTCATTCAGAAAGTACTCAAGGGAAAGAAAGAGATTGCTTAGTAGATGGTCATATATCGATGCTACCACAGTCAGTGCATATGGATTTCAGTCAGAATAATATATCAGAATTGAAAGTTATTTGAAAACAGTGGAAAACAAAAAGAGGAATCTTTTTCCAAGAAATACGGGGATGTGGCACTGCTTATGTCAGTGAAGGTTGATGAACAGCTGATGAGAGCCACAATACAATTTTGAGATCCATCTTATCGATGCTTTATATTCAACCAAGAAGACTTGACCCCCACGATTGAAGAATATTCTTTTTTACTCCGGATAGAGTCTACCAATCAAGATAAGATCTATTGGAAAGAGCATAAGCCTACTGAATATAGAAAGAAGTTAGTCAAGATCATGCAAGTAGAGATTGAAGAGATAAACAAGCACAAGAAGGAAAAGAACGGAGTTAAGATCATTCTATCAATTTTTCTGCTCGAGTACATAAAGAAGTATATTGAAACTGATCAGGGATTAGATGTATTTGCTTTGGTTGTGTATGGATTAATGATATTTTCTAAGGTTTTAGGACATATAGAAGCATCAGTGATTGACTTTTTTGAGTAATTAGATAAAGGAATAAATCTTTCACCAACTATGACTCATGGACTTAGTTCACTCGAGTTTGATTATGGGACATCCGATTATGTGAAAAGGGTTTGTGAAATCATCAAAGCATGAAAGCAAGTCAACCGAATGAGTCTAGCTAGATTTGTAGATAATGTTGTAGAAACCTTGCTTAGAGGATGAAAAGGGTTAACGAAATTAGGCCTCTATCAGTCGATGTTTCAAAAAAGTTACCAGCTTCTATTTCAGTACCGATATTATCGACTTTTGAGATCGCCTAACGAGAGTTTGAGATTGAAAAGAAAAGGTTAAAGAAAGAGAAGATGGCTATGATGGATCAGGTTAACTAATTGAGATATGATTTAATGATGAGAGATGATGCAGTACAAAAATTGATCAAAGAACGAAAAGTATTGAAAGAAGATCTGTAAAATTTGCATCAAAAAATAAGAAATTGAGGTTGGACAGTAAACCTTTGAAGGGATCTAAGAAGGATGTGAAAGCACTACGAGATATGGTAGAGTATTGAAAGAATAGAGCTCGAGAGAATAAAGAAATGATCTCTGCACTCACTAAAGAACAACATGAATGGAAAGAAAAACTTTCAGGGGCTTCTGAAAAGGTAGCAAGGTACCAAAGAGAAAGTGAGAAGCTAAAAGCTGAACTAAGGAGGGAACAAAACAAGAACTTCGATTTGCAAAGTGAAAAAAAAGCCTTAGAGCATAATTAACGAGCTTGGAGCTTCAATTGACAAGCAATCAGAGTCACATAGATAAGATTTTGACTGAGTGGCAAGAGATAAGATTATTGGGCTCACACTTGCAATATGGAGGTGGATGCTAGAGAGATGTGGAGAGCGAAAAGTTTAGGAAAACAACAATACATCGAACATCTGACTGCTTAAATTTACAAGGTTGTTTGAAAAGCAAGCAATATGGTTGAAAAGGTAGAAGCTCTGGAACAAGAGATTGTACCAACCCAAAGCCA